CTTTTTGCTTTGATTTAACAATTCTCAGATCCACTCTAGTGTTCAACAGGCTCTATTTCCTACTGCATTTGGGATATAACCACTTTTCCCATCATCGTGGGAGGACACTATCTCACTTCCAGCTGTACTAAGAAGACATATCCACTCTCTGATGTAGCTTGAGAGCCTTGAATCATCTACCAGTACTGTTTATTAATGAACTATCACGACTTCTCATTTTTCTCCATATATTTGTGGCCCTAGTGGAGGATGACGCGCTCCTATCTGAAGAATGACTAGTATGATGCTTTCAAAAGAGGGAAAACATTACCCTCAACAGCTTAAGTGGAAAAAAATTGTGTGCTGCAGGGCTGTAGTACCTGTTCCACTCTGCTCATGGGATTACCTGAATATCATTCTTCAGGGGTTTATGTCATGAGATTTCTTAACATGTGCAATCACCGAGGACAAGCACATGAAAAACAAAACTATATTCAGCTCTGAGACATTTAAATACCACAGATTCAATGGTCAGCTCTGAAGCATATAGAAAGAGGCATATCTTTAAAATGACAACTGAGTGTTGAGTAGAGATGGGCACTCTAATGGTGTCTAATTGATTTATGCCATATTGACAACAGTAAAGACAATGAAATGACAATGACATTCTATGACTGTCATTTCACTGAACAAAAATTAGATGGCAGAAAGTTTCATTATTTCAGTATCATGCAGAAAGTTGTGAAGAGAGAAAAGAGATCACATGGACAATCCAAGGTCCCAGGGAGCACAATGTGGAAATTTTAAAAAAAAAATTAAAAGAGAATGAAAAAAGAAACCCATACCAAAAATGAAAAAGATACTGCACATTGTGATAAACTGTTTAAAAGCTAACATACCATTTAAGACAGTAGAAAAGTCCTCACTGGTGTTCCTGATCCAAAGTTTACCAGAGTCAACAGAAAAAACTCCTAAGAACTGAATACCTGACAGCAATTTAAAAAATAAGTCAGCAAACAACCAAAAAGCCATCCCAGAAACACCAGCAACAACATCCCTCCAGCAGGGCTCATTGTGTAAGGAGGGTTTTGAGGCATCTGAAAATCATACAATCATAGAATCATTTAGGTTGGAGGAGACCGCCAAGATCTTTGAGTCCAAGCATAAACCTAACACTGTCATTTCCACCACTAAATCATGTCCCTAAGCTCTGCCTCTATACGCCTTTTAAATACCCCCAGGGATGGTACCTCAACCACTTCCCTGGGCAGCCTGTTCCAATGCTTTACAACACTTTCAGTGAAGAAATTTTTCCTAATATCCAATTTGAACCCACCCTTGTGCAACCTGAGGCCATTTACTCTTGTCTCCTTGCCTGTTACTTGGGAGAACAGACCAACACCCACCTCACTGCAACCTCCTCCCAGGTAGCTGTAGAGAGCAATAAGGTCTTCTCTTAGCCTCCTCTTGTCCAGGCTAAACAATCCCAGTTCCCTCAGCCACTCCTCACAAGACTTGTTCTCTAGACCCTTCACCAGTCTTGTTGCTCTTCTTTGGACATGCTCCAGCAACTCGATGTCTGAGCACATGCCTGATCAGGTAAAAGCTTTCACTATAATTTTACAGTTTGGATTTTATTGACATACCATTCATCACATTATTTATACTGGCATACCCTAGAGAGCTAGAAGGATACGCAAATGGTCTAGCTATACAATAAATGAGCTTTTTGCCCTAGTTGATTTTAAGTGCAGGCTATGTATGCATGCATACAAGGTTGCGTAGGAATGAAACAATATAAGATCTACAACATGTTAAATTTGCTCTAATTTATCCTCAGAAGAAACAGTGTCAGGTGCTTGGAGGAAGACACAGGAACAGTGAAAAGAGCAGTTATGAAGTCCATCGGGCAAGTTTCTTCCTATTAGATACTGCTTGTATCTAATACAAAGGATGAATGGTTACAGAGAATAGCAGACAGGCATATTATCAGACAGGAAAATAAAGACTTCATGGGTGAAATAGGGAGTCTTTTAACTTCCTCAGCTAAGAAGCTGTTTAAGTAAATTCTTCCACTGACATTCCTCAAGGTGGTTTGCTAGATTTGGTAACTGGGTTCAAAATGTACAGGATCAGGCCCTGCTACGAACACTTTCAGTATCATCTAGGGTTCGGGAGAGTTAGCCATCAGAGATGCTAAGTGGAGACGCTGCTATACCCACTGGGCATGGCCACTGTCACAGTGAAAAAGGAACCTTTAAATGGATAGATACAACATAGAGATTATACTCTAATTGGCACAGAAAACAGTGGTCCTATTAGCCTGCATAAAATAGCTAACAGTACACAGATGAGTCCTACTGTCCTGCTTGTCATTTCAATGTAAATAAAAATTAGTGTTCATAAGATGAAAAGATAAGTGTCAAGTATTACAGTTTACCTTGTGATATTACTATTAACATATTAGTTAGAAAAAATAATTAGCTTGAAATATTAAGATACTGATGTGAGATAAGCCTCTGAATCTACCGAGGTTCAGCTATCACCAGCAAACATATGACTGAAACATTTAAACAATGAGAATACTTCAGTATGCTAAAAGCTGCAGGCTATTATAGCTTAATTGACCAAGAGTAATGTTTTCAAAGCCAGCTAAGGGATTTTTGAAAATGTTACTTGGGCTCTTGAGCAACTACAGCATTTTAAAATATTTTCCTAAGTATTTTGTGTTTGCGTATTGCATCCTATACCTATCACAGGGACATATACACACACACACTCTCACTCATCCATCCTTAAAGGCATAAATCCTTTCACAGAAGAGCATCAAGTTGAAGTTATTGCTGACCAGGAATAACTGATGACTATAAGAGAGGATACACTTCTCTTTTAGCCCAGAACGAGCACTAAATAAACTAGATGCTCCGTAGGCAAGTCAATTGTATGCTGCTGCTGTCTTGTTACAGCCTGATGTTAGACAGCTAATGATGCAGAAGAAAGATTATCAAATGCAAAGATGATACTCAAAAGACTCTTGTAAGTGAATCATCAGCAGACAGCTCCAGTACAACCTTCATAGCAGAAGGCGGCAGGCAGCAGCCTCTGCGTCACACGTCAAGCGTGTTTGGTCATGATATTAAGGCACAGTATTGCATATCATACCATGTAGCAGAGAATAACCACGTGGTATGATGCAAACCACCAGCTTTCAGGCCATATGCTAACAGCAAGCCCAGGAAAAGGTGGAAGTGTGCAGCCCTGTCACTCCTGCACAGAAGCTGGTCAGTCCCAAAGCTGGCCAAAAAGCTTTCTACTCATCGAAATACAATTCGAAATTGCTGGAATTTAGTACATATCCCTTCATCACCCCACAAGGCAGTTCCTCCACTCTCATTTATCAGAAATGACCTCAGAGTTTTCACTAGCTGACAGAAAAACGCTCACGCATAGGAAAAAACAGAGAAAACATTACATTTAACTTTAGTACTTGACAAGTTTTCTAGAGAGTTTCAACAGGACAAAACCTACGCAGCCTTCTGCTTTTTAAAGCATCTAACATAATTCGGACACTGTCACAAAATAAACAGTAATTAAAAACCTCAAATCTTCTTGCTAAATTCTGACAGCCTCCCAAGTTTATTTATAACATTTAATAACACTCGATGTGTTGGATGTAATTGGCTAAAATCACTGTAGTATATTCCACAAAAATTAAGTTTTCCACCCAGTAATCACTGTGGTGTACGTATTTTTATAATGATATTTGTTTTACAGATGGAATATGATCTTCTAATAGCTACTGAAGTATCTATATATGACACAGATACATTTAATTAGTCTCACCTTTTTATAGGCGATCCAGTCAAACACCCTGTCAATGTCTGTGGCTTGCTGCACCTCCTGGGATACTGGATGTGAACTGGCCAAACCATCCAGCAACATCACTTCATGTAGGACATCTGTCAGAAATCTCTGCTTTTCCTGAAATACAGCATATACAGTAACATCACAGACAAACACACATTTACAACAATACAGAAATGATGCACAGTTGTCAGAGGCAGCCTCTATATGACTGCTGACCAAAATCAGACTTTTGGGCTTGAATGTAAGCCACCATGACCTCTTACAGTCTTGAACATGTATACAGCATGGACAGGAACTAATTCTAGAACCAGGGACCTCTCTGACTTGAGATCTTTTGCTGCAATGAAAGTTGATTGAAATTACACTAAAGACTAATGCATTAATCAAAATTTATCTGTCGGTGCACACTGCAATTCTGATTACAATTATTCACTCACAGTTATGAGGAGTGGGGAGAGAGGAGCGATAGCATAGTCTTCAACCACAAAAATCTATGGATGCTACAAATCATAGAGCTCGTTGCATATACAGGTATGAAAACTTTTGACAGAGATGGGTAAATACAATTATTACTGCTTTATTTAGTGAGGTTTAAGTCATTTGGCTCTTGATGCCAAGTTGACACGGCAGGTCAACATGGGACAGGACAATGAACAGAGCCCACAACAGAGTCACAGCTGATGCCGGCGTTCTCTTTCATAATTCTGGTATAGAAATCCTTTCTCCTCAAGAGCTTGTGTGCTCTACAAACTTTGTAACTTCCACCTGAAGGAAACCATTATTATCTCTCTTTACAAGCAGGATGATAGCTGCACGCAAAGTTAAATGGCATAGTCAAAGTCACAGATGCATGTGCAAACCCAAACAATATCCAACATACTAATTTGTTTCTACATTCTCTATAAATACAGATTGCAGAGGTATGTCAAAAATGCTGCATATTTACTCTGGCAACATTAATTAAATATGCTTGTATACTCTACAAACTGTGCTGCACTCACTTTTACAGTGCAACTAGATGGGACTTCTTCAGCTGAGAAATTACATGCCTTAAAACCTCCTCATATTGCATTCATATAGATATGTCTAATCCAAAAGACTGTGTCAGGAAAGAAGAGTTTCATTTACTTGTTTTTTCAAGTCACAAATAAATGCAAAGAGTGAATTAAAAAACATGGAAATGACATATCTCAAACTTTATCTAAATTATAACAGTTCCTGAATTAATGTCAGCTTAGTGCCATAGTATAAAGAAACTCTAGCGAATGTTGCATTTTTTTCAGAAGCCATCTTGATGTCCACAGATAAAATAACCACACAATTACATATTAAATTCTATGTTCAATTTCTTGGGTGGCAAGGTTTTGGTATCAATGTGTTAATTTAAATTATATTTATAAGACAGCAGAAAAGCTGTTCCAGTGCTGATCCATCTGGAAATGAACTTTCAAGTTGAAATTCATTAGAGCACAAGAAATGTACCTTAAGCTCATATACATTCAGGCACTTAAAAACACGGGATGCAGGAAAGTCAATTACCCAACACACTCTTAGTGTTCTCAGCTGGCTGCATGAGGTAAGGTTTGTGAAGGGAAAAGTAATGTCTTGTTTGTATTATTGTTCTTTTCCAAATTTTCTCAGGCATACGCAGTTAGTAACTGCCCTTTATTTACAGGGGGAAAAAAAAAAGGTCTATGGAAACAATTACTATGACAGTCCTGCTCAGGGGAAAACTGCTGAGGTGTAAAGGATTGTAGATGCTTTGATTACATCTCACTCATTCTCTGTTAGTCAGGAACAGAGACCCAGTTTCATCAGAAGTATGATATGCAACATGTACAGGTATGAACACACACAGGTTCAGACCCATCTCCAAATTCAAGTCTGGATATCACAACTGACTAACAGTTTTGGGAATGGATTGTTACTATTTAGAATTAACTCATTAAAAGGACCCTTGTTAATCACGAATTAATACTTTAAATACAGAACCTGGAACCAAGAAAATCAGCATGTAGGAAACATAACGTGAAGCTACAAGAAGAATACAAAAGAAATAAAAAGGACAGGCTACACTTTGGTTCTCCGTTTCTTTCTTAGGTTATCTCCGGAAGGGCAGAAAAGGAGCATTTTAAATTCATGATCACTCATTCAAGTTACCATAGCTGAAAAGTCTTCCTTGAAATTTATGGCAGACTGTTAGACTGGGATACAGCTGGAATAGCTACTATGCCTCCAAACACATAAACCCGCATTTTAGTCAGAATTAAGAAGGCTTTTGACCTATGAAGCTAAATTTGTTGAATTAAAAGGATTTCAAAAATATTCCCAGCTTTTCCCTTCAGCACACAGCCTTTGAGAGCAGATTTCAAAAGGAGACTCAAACAAAATTCCAGTGAGACGGAGAGAGCAAGACAGGAGTTTGCTGGTTGACAAGGGCCTGCAGCTTGAAGAGGCAACAGGGAACAGAAATGCAGAAAGAAACTAAAACTACCTTAATTATGTTGAAGAAACACTACCTCAGCTATTAAAACCCTATCAGCACACAAGGAGGAAAAGGCCAACATATGTGACCAAACTGCTTATACTCATGGAAGAGGAGCTTTCTGCTCCCTAGTTACTTTACCCTATGCAGTGTGGTGGAACTAAAAATTGGAATGCATTTAATGAGGCTGGCGAGCTGTCAACACGGTAGGTGAAGGTTTGCAGTTAGACACAAAACAATGACAAAATGTTGTTCAGGATGACCCTCCTCCGAGGGAGCTCAGCTGCAAGAGCAAAGCCAAAGACTGCAACCTGCCTGTAAGGAAAAGAGGGCTTCAGGTGAGTCTTGAGGCTTTGCTTGGAAAGTGTCGGTAGCTGCACGGAAGTGCAAGGCTGCGTGGTGCTAACGCAGGGCCAGGGCTCTGAGCAAGTGGTGGTATGACAGCAGCTGAAGCCTAGTCTGAAACAAGCACAGAGGTGCTTCCACTCAAATTTGTGACTTTCTTTAAAGGCAAGCAGGAAGCCCCTCCGCTCCTTATCTTTCTACTGCCCACTTGGAATCCCGTCTCCATCTCCTCTCCTCAGAGCCTTCCCTGAACTGTGGATAGTCAATTTCTGGAAGACCAGACCTGTGTTGAGACAAGACATTCCAATTATTTCTGGTTGCTTTCCCTCTTACTCTTGAGCATGCTTCCAGGCGCAGGGACTGAAGTGCTGTTATGAGACAAACAAGGCTTTCAAAGACCTATATTTTCAGATTATTTCCCAAATACCTGTGGTCATCAGATTCAAGTACTTGTCTCTTCATAGCAATGACTTCTTTAATCCTCACGAACAAGACATTCTCTGTTTGGTACAAGATTGTCCCAAAAGACTTATCCCTTCTCTGTGCTCTCCTCTCCTTAGCTAATCATTGTGAAAATTCAAATTTCACTGCTTTGGGTAAAAGCAGCACAAACAATACAGCTAACAGGGTCAGAAACATTCCATCTATAGCAATTCCTCCAAATTATGGAAAGAATCTGGAGATTTTTAAATGTGGATCTGTAGTGTAAATCATCCCATAGCAAAAAGAATCAGGACTAAAAAAACTGGTTAACCACAAGAAAGCTTTCTGGTTCTGGTTTGTTTCCACCTTGTTCTAAGGGGGAAGGTTTATGGAAAGGATGTGGTCATTCTTTGTGTATTAATGTCCAACAGGATGCCCATCATTCAACTAGTCTACTTCCTAATGGAAGGAAAACAATTGTGAAATAACTTTTTTTGGCAGAAAAGGCTGTACCTTCAAGAGCCACTAAAAATCTATTGTGCATAAGAGGATAGCAATGATGTAAAGGAAAGGGGTTGCTGCTGGTGCTTTTACAATATCATATTAATGCAGAATGTAAGAGTACAAGCTAGCATGACAATAACGTAAAACTTAAAAGTCACATAAAAATAATTTCTAAAAATTAATATGAAATACCAGGGAGAAGAATTAAAATGAAAAAAATGGAAAACATCCAAGAGTGGAACAAAAGGATTAGCACAATGAAAGCAAAAACTGATAATTAGTACGCAGAAGAGATCAAAGGTCTCAATATTAAAGGCATCGCCTTTGTTCCGGGACAGCCATTCAAACAGTTCATGGACTACGAAATCTACATGAATAAAGCTTAACATTGGTGTGCAAATCTGCAAACGATTTTTCTGACAAACTTGCTGGAAATATCTTCTCCAAAATATAGAGCTTTGCCAGCCATCATGAATAGAAAGGAGATAAGTGATCTCTCATGCCTGACAAAACAAGCATTTGCAAAACATAATACTGAGGTTTACAGGGAAAAGGCATCCTAGGAAAAAAGAAATAGGGTCAAATTTTGAAAGCAATCAAAGAACACTAGCATATGCAATATCAGAAGTTCAGTTCTAATATAATCTGTTTCAGGGTGAACTATCACAGAATCACAGAATCACAGAATAGTAGGGGTTGGAAGGGACCTCTGTGGGTCATCTAGTCCAATCCCCCTGCCGTAGCAGGGTCACCTACAGTAGGCTGCACAGGATCTTGTCCAGGCAGGTCTTGAATATCTCCAGAGAAGGAGACTCCACAACCTCCCTGGGCAGCCTGTTCCAGTGCTCCGTCACCCTCAGAGAGAAGAAGTTCCTCCTCATGTTCAGACGGAACTTCCTGTGCCTCAGTTTGTGCCCATTGCCCCTTGTCCTGTCACTGGGCACCACTGAAAAGAGCTTGGCCCCATCCTCCTGACACCCACCCTTCAGATATTTGTAGGCATTTATAAGGTCCCCTCGCAGCCTTCTCTTCTTCAGGCTGAACAAGCCCAGTTCCCTCAACCTCTCCTCGTAGTGGAGATGCTCCAGTCCCCTCACCATCCTTGTAGCCCTCCGCTGGACTCTCTCCAGTAGCTCTTCATCCTTCTTGAACTGGGGAGCCCAGAACTGGACACAGTACTCCAGATGAGGCCTCACCAGGGTAGTGTAGAGGGGAAGGAGAACCTCCCTTGTCCTGCTGGCCACACTCTTCTTGATGCACCCCAGGATCCCATTGGCTTTCTTGGCAGCCAGGGCACACTGCTGGCTCATGGTTAACCTGTCGTCCACCAGGACACCCAGGTCCCTCTCTGCTCTCC